ATAATCTGAAGAGAACTACAGCATAAACTCGATCAATAAATTTATCGTTTCATCTTTTTACAAGCGGTTTAAGTGAAGTCCAATATTGTTATATTAAAACGAAAAATTGAGAATTGCGCACAAAAATTAACGAAATGCATTTAAGACCAGTACTTATGATAGTGAAGTGCAAATACTTAAAGTGAATGATACTTAATACGATAGAAATGCAAAAAAATATGAATAATAAAAGTTATTTTGCATATTCAAGGATGAAAGTGATGAAAAAAAATATCTATTGTACTGTATGGTCTTTGAAAACGTTATAAAAGACCAAATATCGATTCGTTTTAAGATACAAAAAAAATTATTCCATCCAACGGAATTGACTTCACTCTGTGTGAGTAATTAGATTCCAATTGGATCACATTTACCGCCAAACATACGCCATTATACTGGCGATGGGATATCGCACAATGCAATCTTACCCGTCGTAGTCTTTATAAAGCGGATTATTTAGATAGACATTTCGAGATAAGAATTTTTTAGAAACACGGTAACGCGTTCTTCCTTGAAAGCGCAAAGAAAAATCTCTTGCCTTACACCTGGAAAAAAGAAATTGCCCTCTCTCTGAAAGTAACATTTTCTCACCGGCACGAAGACTATAATCTAGTTTTATTCGAGTACTTAGTCGGATAAACGGCGGTCGTGACTGGTGCTAGTTGCATCGGAACGAAAATGCGACGGCATAATTTAGCGCGTGTACCAATGTCGTTTCTGATAGGCCTATGATAAAAGTAAACCGTTACGAGTTCTAGACATAGTGTCTCATAAAGACTCGATCGTATATAAACGCTATTTTAGTGTTAGAATGATCGGAAGTGAGTTCTGCTTGTAAGACGAACCATCGTCTTACTCACTAGAGGTAAGAATCGCTTTCGAATAGAGGCTGCCTCTTTTTTTCTAAATCGAGAATAAGATAACTAAAGATAAGAAAAGATCCGCAAGAAGTACAAGACTTGTGACCGTATAAGCAAGACATGTCCGGCGAAATGTAGGTTTCACGCCTTTCTAGCATTAACGTCGTCTTTCGGCCCTCGAAAGAGGGTTCGACTCGTACTCCAGGCTCTTTCAAAATCCGCCGGAAATAATGCCTTATGAGTAGGTCATAAGTAGTTCGTAAGTGTGTAATATAGGAAAAATATATTATGTTTATATAACTCTATACAAATACACAAAATTAAAAAAAAAAATATTTCAGGATAGTTCATTGACATTTTTCCTATTAATTTTCGTCAATCGTGAAAATTAATTATTACAATTTTTGTCCTTTATTTACGCGCATTATAATCTATGTATGTTATATTTTTATTTATATTTATAAATAAAAAAGAGATTGAATCAGGTCGAAATTAATATAAAACAGCATAAAGTTAGAAATTTTTCAGAAAACGATACTAATAATGAATGGTAGGAGCCATAGATCAAAATAAATGGAATTTTGTAATGTAGAATATGCTTCGAAATAAATACAGTTGTAACATTATTCTCTATATTTCTAAAATGTCCATGAATCGGGCATCCAGAAATGGTTAACAAGAGAAAAGAATATCTATCAATGTACATTACACTTTATCAATATATTTATACTTGCTTACTCGGGCAATAACTATGATCTAAGTGAGAGCAGTTACTTTTCCTTCGAAGCAGGTTCAGCAGTTGATGACGGAGCGTCCCGGAAATTAGGAAACTGCTCCCACGGGGCAGCTAATTCAAATTTACGGAATTCCTGAGTCAATTCTAATGGTTCAATCACTATTCTTTTATATTCGTCGTCATAGCGCACCTGAAATATGAAAAACATTTGATTATTAGGACAACATAGTAAACATGAAAACAACACGAAATATTTTGTAATTATTTTTAGACACTTGAAGACATTATTGTTCTTTCAATAAGATTTTAACAGCCGTAATTTTGGTAGGAAAGAAATAATTGTAAGCAGATTCTTTAACGTGCAAATAATTTCGTTAACGAGTTGACTTGATGCTATATTAAAATTAATAACGTACAAATTTTTACTAAACAAACTACCTCAACGTATCCGCTGAGTGGAAAATCTTTCCTTAGTGGATGCCCTTCAAAGCCATAGTCCGTAAGGATCCTACGAAGATCGGGATGATTCAAGAAAAATACACCAAACATATCCCATATCTCTCGCTCGTACCAATCAGCAGCTTTGAAAACGCTGTAGATGGAGTCAACCGGCGTCAACTCGTCGGTGTACGTTTTAACTCTGATACGCGAATTGTATCGCAACGACAGTAGATTGTAAACGAGCTGTAATGATAAATATGACAGCATAATATTCCGTTTTTTTAATGTGAAATCTCATTGTCTACATTACATTTGTATAAAATATCCATACATTTCTGGGTATAGAACAAAATTTACCTCAAATCTGTACTGTCTACTGGGCACATCTACAGCGGTAATGTCTGACAGATTAACGAACTGTGTATTATGATGATCCTTTAAAAATGTAAACGTAGGTATGATGCCGTCAGGGACAATTAACAATTCCAGCTCGTCGCCAGCAGCCAGCTGTACTTGTTGTATGTATTTGGGCAGACAATCGTTGATGTAACGGCCAAAGTGTATCAGACGATCAACATCAACGTGACTGGGTTTCCGTACCGTGGCTGCAAAAACATTTGTGTTAGATAATATGATTTTATCAAATACTTTGCACACACATATATACAGGACATTAAGTCACAAATAAATAAGTTGTACGTACGACGAGTCTCGATTTTCTCGGTTTTCTCGTCGGTAGTCGTGGTGTTGTACCTTACTATTGACGGAGAAGCGACAGCATAACCTGTCAAACAAACGCATATACGTTATTACATAATTCGATGGAAACGTTCCCGCGGTGATCGACATTTCCTTACATTTCGGCGTAGCGGCTGGTAAACTTCGCGACAGTCTCCAACAGTTTCTTAATATCGACGTCATTTTTCTAAAGAATATATATTTTAAATGCGCTTACAAACACAGAGTTAGCGGAACATATCCCGCAACTTTGGCGACCATCTGCAAACTGTAACTTGACCGACAATACCGACAGTTACAATTTTTTACATCAATAGGTATCCAACGGTGATACTGTGGCCATCTAACGTTCACCGCCTAATAACAGTTTACTTCAGAGGGTAATCAAACTCCGTTTAATTTAATCGGTGATTATCTCGTCAAAAATTATTAATTTTTTGTTTAACATATAGAAAAAAACGTTAGATCAGGAACAACGGATTATTAGAAATTTTTCTTTGACTTTCGAATCCGATTGAATCAATCTCAGATTAACTTAATACTTAATCAGTGATTAACTTATCAATTTCGCTACCATTTTGTTAACGTGGATAGAATTATTTAAAACAAAGATTAGATAAAAAAACACGAACAGATTGTACATATAAAAATTTTGTTGTAAGCAATTTTACTGATTGAATTAAATTAATCGGAGCTTTGTCTCTCAACAGTTAAAATAAAGCTGATAGCTTATAATCATGTCTAATAACTATTTTGCGTAAAATTACATTTTAGCTCTTTTTAATATTTTTTTTCTTTGTTCTATTATGTTTTCTTGTATATTTTTAATAGGAATCATTTATAAGAATCATATCATTCAGTAATATCAATTTGGATTAAACTTTATTCTTGTTGAGATTTTAGTAACACAATAGAAAATGTATAAAAGGCACACATTTTGAACTTATAATTCACTTATAATTAATGAATGTGTACAACACGCTTAATAATACTCACTTTGTAACTATTACTATACTACATTGTAATTATTACTACTATTACTGCACTACAGTTACTACGTAAAACAAATTAATTCATATAAAATAAGTCATATTTTTTATTAACCTCACGTTTTAATCTTACATGTAAAAAATTATTTACGTAATCGACCTGAACTCCTTGTCGGAGTTTCCCGCACCGATTTATTTTTAGTTCGTTTTGGAGACGGTGACGGGGTGCTGGGTACCGCCTTTACACGTTCTCTTCTTTTGCCTACAAGAAAACAAAATAAATGTGTGTTGTTCATTATTCTATCACTTCTGTTATTTTGCAAATATCAAATGTTCACTTATCACTATCTTAGATCAGCTCACACAGAGTGTTTATGAAAATTATATATTCGCAAAAAACAATCCAGAAACTGAGGACTACGAACTTAGTTGTAATATTATAATAAACATATATAGTAGTTTTGAGAGTGTTTGATATTTTTGCTATTAATTTATTATATATTCAAAAATTATTATTACTTGATATTTATTTGATATTTATTTATTTCATATATATACATGTACACAATATATACAAGTGTAACAAATAAGTCATGTGTGTGTATACACATATACATATAATATGTATATGACTTATTAATTATATTTCTTTCTGATATCTAGAATGTAATTGGATAATTTTATACTGTAACGTTATAAAAAAAAATTAAATTACATAAGTAAATAAAATTTAGATTCAAAACTTGAAATACAGTTTTCATAGTTAGTTCTTACTGTTTATTTTTAGCGAATAAAAATTTCTCTTTGTATATATGTATATATGAGTATTTATATAAATATGAAATTGTTGATCACCAAAAATCGACTGTAAATACTGAAAGTTTAATAGTTCTGCCAATATTTAGAATTAAGAGAGATTAAAGAAACAAATACCGCGTTTTGAAGTACCTGGAGTACCTGCTCCACTGACATCGGTATTATTTCCATTTTTCATAGATGATTTTGCGTGAGAATTCTTTTCATTATCGGTTAACTTTTCTTTTCTATTTTTTACTGTAAAATTGTAAAATTATTTTATTTGTTTAATTGTACATTATAAATAAATAAAATTGCAAACACACACACACACACACACACACACACACACACACACACACACATACATACATGAAGCTAATGAGCCTAATGAGGATTTTCACATGTCCAGTAAAACAAATTGTGACTGCTTATTAACTTAACCAGTATTGGTAAACGTTGCTTTATCAGAAAAAAGGGGATCATTGATAGAAATAAATAATCTTAAACTGATTAAATTCAAAAAACGAACACGATTTTGGAAATTGTTGCCGAAGTTACCATCTTGAGATGTAATGGAGTTTTGAGTTAGGATACGAGTGAAATTTAATTTGTTTCATAACGCGACGAATTGAAGTGCGGCTAATTCCACTATCCCTTGCCAATTGACGTATACTTATTCGCAGATCTACGTTAATTGCAGCCAAAATCATCGTTTGTCACACTACGCTGTCTGTTTCGATCGTTTCGATGTTGCTTACACAAACTACCAGTATTCCGAAGTCGCTGTTCTAATCGTGAAAATTCCATGTGGGATTTTCGTACATGGTAACGTTCGGCGAATACTTCAGCATTATTTATTGCAAAATATAATATAACTTGAATTTAGCCAAGATATTTCTACCCAAGAAACCAGCTTGTAACACTTCACACATGGGACATTCTACATATAATTCTATTACAGAACCAGGACAGGGCATTTAACTTTATATGATTTAAATCATGCATGAGGTTGCATAAAAATGCTTTCAACAATTATAGTTCTAGAGCGAAAATATAATGCACGTAATAATTTTTTCATATCATGCGGTTTTTCTGGAAATACCAGGGTGCACACTTATAATTATTGTACAAGGATTCATTGAGGCGTTTAATTTTACGATTTAAATTATCTCTATTGTGTATAATTATATGATGTAATATTGTATGTTTAATTATACACACAATGTACGAAAAAACATTAACGAGAGATTGATTCAAACTTACATTTTACAACGAATATGTTATCTGCCTCTTCCTCAGAGTCGTCTTCCTCAGAGCTATCTTCGTCTTCATCGCTCGTGCTCTTAAATCGTCTGCTTCGACGGACATTTCTCTTGTTCCTCGGCGCGGTTGACGGTGGTGGCATTAGATGCCTATCTATCTCGTTATCTTCTTTGGTCTCTAAAAGTTCCTGTATCTTCTCTTCCAATTCTATACAAACAGCCTTTGCATCCGCTTTTTTCTTTGTCTGTTCGATTATATTTTGTAACGCTGTTAATACTGGTTTATAATGAATTTTTTCCTTCAATAGTGGTAAACTTTCGATGAGACGTTGTATACCTTTAAGAACGATGAAATAAGATTATTTTTTAAATTCATTATCTTATTAAACATAAAGTATTTTACTTACTCTTTCCGCTGAATTGCAAGAGCGAAAGGCAGTAGGAAAGATCACGCCACTGCCTCTCTGTGGCGGCCAACTTAAATCTAGCGCAAATCTTATCAATTATGGTATCGATTTGCTTCTCTTTCTGCATTAAACCGAGAATGTATCTGCAAATTATAACAACGTTTATGAAGCATTTATATTTCCTGCTGCTGAACATAGTTAATAGCATTAGCAATACCTACCTAATGGTTTCCTGGAAATCTTTCTCATCGAGATTTAACTGAGGATCCGCTAAACGCGATAATATATCAGGCACTATATTATATAGAGCGTTGCCTTTTTGAGCAAGCTGAACAAAGAATTCTTTCGTGTGCCGTCGTATCTGTTCGTCCTCATCGATTACGCAAAGAGCCAATTCCGAAACCTGTCCCTTCACGCGTATCATTTCCCTCATTATCAGACTCGACAACATACGAACGCACGTCCTACGCACGTTCACATCTTTATCTCGAAGTCTATAAAGATAAATATTAAATATTATGATACTATATACCGTAATTTCCCCAATTTCTTTTTTTGTAAGTTTTTTTTTATAAGAAATAAGACAAAATATTATGTGAACAAAAACTAGAAAAGTTTATAATTTTGAAGTATTTTAAAAAATATTATGAAATATAATTATCAATTAATGTAACTAGTATTTTGATTTTAAATGCTGAAAACTGACGTCAAAAGCCAATTTACCTGCCATAGATGTGTTTGGACCACGGTTCAACTTGATTGGGGAATCTAGTAGCGAGATCGCTTAATCCAATCAGCATATTCGATCGAATCCCGGGATATGGCGATCGCTCCAATATGGTGATTAAAAGTTGCAAAGATTGCTCGCAAAACTCGGAGCTCACTGTCATCATTTTGCTGAGCGCGAGTGAACCTGCGGCTTGCACATCCTCGTTGTTATACTTGTCGGGATACTGGCATACATCCAATACCAGCGGACTACAAATAATTGCATATGATTAATTACACGCACTATTAATTTTCAATTCTCAATATATCCAAATACGTACACAAATTTCACGAGCAAGCCATTCCCAGTAACAATTTCATGTTCCAGTGCGCCGCTCACGAACTCCGCCTCGGCGTCGTCCATCGCACCTTCTAAGGCTTCTTCTCCGTTATCCTCAGTGAACGTCGAATTTTCTCGTCGAGAACCTCGTCGCATGTTTGACGAGGTCGATGTATTCGTCGATCTAGCTTTACCATCTGGCGTCGGAAGCGCGCTTCTCGGTAATCGTTTCTTTTTCTTACCCTGCATCTCTCGTAGCATATTCCTACGCTTCAGTTCCTTGTAAATAGACACGTCCAGGTGAACTAACTGTTTGATGGCAACGTGTCCGACTATGTAAAGCAATCTAGAGAGTACAGTGCTCGACACATCTGACACTTGATCCGTATCTTTATTCATTAATTGACCCTTCTCGGTGATGTCCAATAGCAATTCGTTTATCAACTTGTCGGGTTGATTCGCTAACTGTAATTAAAGTAAAACTCTCAGTATGATATTTCAAATGTATTTAATTAACGCGCGAAAATCTCACTTACGTGATATATAGCATTAAGTGCATCCGTCGCGAAGGAAATATAAGCGTTCTCTTCCGTACTGGTAAAAAAATCTATTAATAATCTCATGATCTCTTTGAACAGATCATGATCGTTAGGATACCTGTATGAGAAAATGTGCTTTTAATTAACAATTTTTACAAAAAGCTTTGAATTATTTTCACCGCTATGGAGGCTTACCTTACAGGTGAGTTTTCGACATCTTTGTTACTTTGTTTTATTTTTAACAGCATTCTGCAAGTATCTCGTGCTAAAAGAAGATCGTCTTTCGCGCGCGGACCAAATCCTATCTTCATTAACACGTCCAGATTATCAGATGCTATGTTAGATTTCGCCTGAGCTATCATCGTTATTATCATTAACGCGGTTCTGCTATCAATTGGCGATGTGTCCGGATACTTCATGGAGAACTTTTCCCATAAGACCTACACATACAGCATTCATTAGAATATATTCTCAATTTATTTTTAAAACAATCAAAATATTTATAATTTATCGTCGAACAAAATCAATATTAAATACATTTAGTAATGTGATAGAGCGGTTCATCCGTATTCCATCTTAAATCTCGACCTTTACCTCAGATATGCCTTGATTTAATGCAAAGAATTTAATTGAAGAATTTGAAGAGTATGACTAAAGGAGTGTGAAGTATATATGGGTTTTTCATTTCAAAAACCCATATTTCAACTATTAAATATAAGGTAAATGCCTGGACAAATACCTATGTCTGGACACCCTTATCATTTTAGTCCTTAAATAAGTAATAACGCGAATTAACGTTTGAATACTATAACTAAAATTTCAAAATACGAGAAAAATAGTTTATCTTTAATTTATACTTATTTAAGGACTAAGGGCCAATTTCTTCACCGTTGGATAACTCTATCCTTCGGTTAATCTCACTCTTCATTTCTTTCTAACTGCCCCTTTAGAAAGAGATGAAGAGTGCGGTTAACCGAAGGATAAAATTATCCGACGGTGAAGAAATTGGCTATAAAATGATAAAGGTGTCCAGACATAGGTACGTATCCACTAACTCTCCAGGCATCGGTACATTTACCTGTCTTACCTGCAGCAATTCACTGTTTAATTCATTGTTCTCGTACCACGTCACAATCAACAAAGTCAAAGCCTGGCTCTGTCCAGGCTTCAATTCCTTCAGCAACTCGATCAGACGATTCGCACGGGCAACGGCTATTTGACGGGGCGATCGTTTGTCGTTATTTGTATCGAGATAGATTCCCTTGTACACAACGGCCACGTTATTACGCACAGATTGATCGCGATGAAACACTTGAAACAGAGCCTCGCGCATGGAGTCGGCCGCTCCAGTTACTCCAAATTGGAAAGCAACTCCTAAAAACGTGCACGACTCGACGGCGTCTCCAGCGCATGTGGAGAACAGCAATTTTTCTGCCATCGGTATCGCCTTCTCCAACTCGGTCGCAAATTCCAGACAATTCTGCAGAAACACAATGTTATTATAATAACAGCGAATAGTTGAAAAGAATCGCAACGCTTATTCGTATGCCACGTACTTTTAAGTAATTTATAACGCGTTTTCGCAATCTTATCTCCTCTCTCTTGTTGTCGTCTTGTTCAGATTTGCACGCGTTGTTCGCATTGTCGTCTCTATCTGTCGATTTAGTCTCTGATTCTATGAAAATCTTCAGCAAAAAGGCAAATAAACATTCCTCCTTTGCTGTAGCGGAAAGATTTTCCATCTCGGGAGCTCCCTCCAATTTCGTAAACGTCTTCCACAGGTATGTCACTGCTTTAGTGACTTTTCGGGTTAATAATAATTGTCTCACGTGTTCGAACGCATGATTTGGATCGATATTTTCATCTTGTTCCACATCTACAGAAAAATTAACGTGCAATCAATATCGTGATATATTTTGCAAACAAAATAATAAAGCCAGCGAATAATTCATTGACAAGAAATCAAATAAATTCTATTTGCTTACCATTTATATATTCTGCTTCATCATTCCTTAGAATCTTCTTTATCGCTGCTTTTATATCGTACTGTAAAACAGTCCAAAGTTCAAATCTTTCCTCGTGACCACGTTCACTAGCACTCACGATGTGAGCTTGCAACTCTTGCAATTTTGCCGTCTCCTTTTCCAGCGAATTTGAAAGTTCGACACAGTTTAACTGCAAAGATACATAAGCCAAAAATCAGTTAAGTCAAGAAAAAAAGAAAACGTTTAGCCTTTTGAGTTTTACATACCTTGCCGGCAAAAGGATTACTTTGCAACAGAGTACGCAGCAATTGAAGAGCCTGTTTGCGGACATTCGCACTCTTGTCTTCTAGTCGCAACGCGGTGCAAGCTAAAAGCTTGCCGTGTCTCGCTAATGGCACAGCGCCTTCGCGACACAAGTGCTGCCAAACCTGAAGCACTTTCGATCTCACATAAGCATTGCAATCCAACATGTGCTCTTCCAAATTGTCCAGACATTCGTCGCGTTGCTCCTTCTGTTCGTCCGTGAGATCTTCGCCGGTCAGTGCTTTTTGCACCACAGCACCCAAGATTCCAATCACACAATTTCTCATTGTATAGAACTGTTAAGAGAATTTCCAAAAAATTCGAATTAATTTTTAATTACTTAAGGTATCTGTAAGTTCTTCAAGTAAATGTAATTTTGTATTTTCTTGTACGAACAATTGTTCATCCAATAGCATAAAAATTATGATGAGAACATACCTCATTTGATAGGTAGTCTGTGATTTCGTCGAGGATGGGAATTATCAGATCGGGCTTTGAAATCGCGATATTTTCGAGAAAGGTGGATGTGTTTCGACTATCTGCTTCCATAACTTCGCTCTGCCCGATCTCATTCATCACCTCTTTTATCAAACCGTTGCAGCCGCATTCGGTGACCATATGTACCACGCCAGTCGCTATGGGTATCGCTAGCGCATCGTACAATTTCACCAACTGCAACATCGAGAAATGTATTTTATAAAGTTTAAAAATAAGTACTGCAAATAATTTATTCAGACAAACATACCTGGACAATCCTCACAACGCAAGTTATTCCATGATTGTATTTTTTTATGAAAGTTCCTAGGATCTGTTTGTAACAAAAAGTAAAGCAGTTGAAAATTAATATGATAGAACTCACATATGCAAATATATGCAAATGTAAACGACTATACCTCAAATATAGTTTGTCTCATATGTTTTTGCTTGGCATCCTTACTCTGTTCTAATATCTTATAACATATCTGCGTCAAAGTCCTGCAAGTATTACAGTTATAAGAAATTACTTTAGAATTAACTTTGACTTAGTTAATTACCGCTGCATAACTTACATGACAAATGAATTGTCGACGATAGGTGGTCTCCAAATTTTATACAGTGGCAACTGTAGCCATCGATACAGAATTTCCAAAGCTTTCTGCCTAGACTGCTCCCATTCTTCTTCAATATCCGATTTCATACTCCTTTTACGCTGTAAAAAGGAACACTCACATCTTTATCCATATAACTTCACATAACATATAACAATATAGATAAGTTTCATACCTTTCCAATATTAATCTCGTTTGCATTCTTTACGTGGTCTTCTATATGACAGATGAACCACGAAAATAAATACGCCAACATATTGTTAATACATAGATACGTTTCCCTCTCCTCTTCCTCTGTAATATCCTTGCCATGATCAAATATTTTTTCCAGGTCGTCCACAAGTATTGCCACAGCTGAAAGTCACACATTTACAAATCCATATAGAGTAAGTTTATCTATTTCAATCAATTATACGATTACATCTCTTGCCAGACGTTACATCACTATTTATAATATATAATTGAAATTATTCGCAAAGAATATTACCCTTGTGAATTCTAGTGAATGCACGTAGACATATGTCGAGATCTACTTTATTGCCGTGAATGACAATGGAGAAAAATGAATCGTAATGATCCAGAATAAAATGCGCACCGTTCTCCTGTAATGCTGGTCGTGTAACTGCAATAGAAATAATATAATATAATTACAAAATAGTATAAGTTACGGTATGATTAATGAGTATAATACATATCTAATAATTGTAGAAGTAATATAATTATAAACTGTTTTACTGACTATTATTCTAATCACTTATACGCATTAACGATATATATATATATATATCCATGAAATATATACACAATAACTTATTAATTGTAAACAATTTGAAATAAGATTTATCACCATCGATAGCGTGTGATATCGTCCGAAGAGGGAGAATCTCCTTGACGAAATACTGCCCAGCATGCGACGTTAAAAGATCGTCTTTCACCAGTGGAATCACAAAATTCTTCACTACTTTAGCCATTTTAACGTAGTTTTGAAGAATTATTTTCTCTCTCTTCCTTCTTTTTAATGAATTTCCGACTGTATGAGGTTCGAGTTTAACGAAAACGTCAACATTCTAACCAACGGCGGACATAATGATTCATTTTCAAATTCAGTACTGCCAACTAGCTAAAAATATTTGAACTCTTATCAATGCAGGCGCGTTCACAAATCAGACCGCTTGGTAACAATCGAACGTGATTGGCTCTTATGCGAGGTCTACAATGGGTGCGTTCAGCCGATACTCCGCTAGCCTAGCAATCGTGAGCAGTCGCTCGTTTTCGCTCGTTTCCTCTCTTTTGACCCAATGGATTAAAAGGAGAGGAAACGAGCGAAAACGAGCGACTGCTCACGATTGCTAGGCTAGCGGAGTATCGGCTGAACGCACCCATTGGGAGCCGCAAAGTCGTGAGTCGCAAGAATTGACCAATCACAGTCGATTATTCTCCTCAAATTCGATTGTGATTGGTCAATTCTTGCGACTCCCATTGTAGACCCCGCATTTTACTTTTAGAACCAAAGAATCAAAACGTAGAATTTTTATAAGACGACAATTTAACAGTTGTTGAACGCAGCCAATTTTTATTAATACAGATTAATTTTAATTTTAATTTAACTTAGGCCCCATTGCACGTAACAAAGTTTTAGCCATAATCGTAAGGCCGTAAGAAAATGAACCAATCACAATCGACTATTCTTCTCGCGCTCGAAGAATAATCGAGTGTGATTGGTCTATTTTCTTATATGGCCTTACAATTACGACTAAAACTTTGTTGCGTGCAATGCAATGGCCTTTACTTTTTATCTATTTGTTTAATTTTTATATCCATTTCTACCAATGTAGATTAACTTTATTAATTTTCAGAATTAAAAAAAGATAAAAGTAAATAAAACCGTGATTAAAGTTAACCTACATTGATAGAAATGGACATTATGGCAATTAACATTCATCTTATGAGGTGTTAAAATAAAATTTGACAAATTATCAAGCAGAGTCAAGCCCCATCTATATATATAGGAACACCACCTATCTTACAATGGCAGTTCGGTTGTAAATGTTCGATTAAAAAAAAAAACGTTAATATAATAACCAGATATTAATCCTTTATATTATTCATTCAAAAATACATTTATATTCGAAATTACTTAAATAACATATTTATAAAAAGTCGCCGTTTTTTCTGATAGCATTATAATAAAAATGTAGAATAATTTTTTACTTATATCTGCGATACAATAAACTGTGATGTATCAATCAAGCAAATAGAAACGTAAATACTTATATTCTTACAGAGCTTAGAATTAATAAATCATCATAGAGCAAACTCTGTTGTTGCAGAGCTGCTCTCAAATGAGCGGTTGTTACTGTCAGCTGGACAGAATAGTTTTAAAAATACTGTGCCGCTCCAGCGCTTGCAACTCAACGAGAATGGTAGCTACGGTGTGCCTCAATTGATGGAACTTTGCCAAAGATAATTCGAACGTCACACATTCACCCGTATTGAAGATCCATTCCATCACGACATTTGGCTCCAGTACTCTGTTCAGTATACTGTAACATTCACGAAAATATATGTTAGGGAGGATACTCATTAAAATATCATATTTCTATGGCGATTGCTCAAAATCCAAACGTACTTGGACGAGATAGTGATATCTACACGCCATTTGCAGGATACAAGTTGCGGATTGAACTTTGTTCTCTGAATCAAACCCGACAATAGGTCTGCTTGCTTTGGACCATAGATCACAGAGGATAAATCTTCTGCACAGTCTGGATTCAGTCTGCAATATGCATTAAAAAAAAAGGTAAGAAGAATAGTATACTCTTCATTCAGAAAAACGTCGTACGACCCTTCAAGTACTGTTATATAAGAAAAGGAACATTTTTTATTTAAAATAATTATTGTTGCAAACTCATTTATTTCCGTTATATAAAAATATGAATGTTGTCACAAAATACAGATGCTATAAAATCTAACGTATGTACAGTCGCCCCCAATAATTCCCTTCCTGAGGTATTCTTATGTTCCCCCCTTATCCCAGGAAAGGAATCATTGGCGGCGATTGTACATATACACAAATAACTTACTTCAGTTCCTCCAAGCATTGTTTGAACTCGGCAGGTTTGATATTATGACATTGCAAACGTAGATGTATCTTCAGAATTGTAAGAATAGCAGCATAATATTCGTCTACGTGTTCCTCAGGTATACTATATTTCTTGCTTATCCGTTCCAATATACCTTCTTCTATATGTTCCAGTTCTATCGCTTTCACTGCAACTATAATTTTTTATGGAAATTATTATTTACATAATTACATATATATGCTGTTTTTGTTGTATTACAGAAATTTCACGCGGTATTTAATTTACTATTTCAATTTGATCCGTTTAATTCAATTACATTTATATAAAATAATATCAATTCCCATTTAAGAAAAAATTAAACTCACGTTGTATTAATGGACGCGCAAATGTTTTCTTTAATTCCGCAAGATATTTCGTTTTACTCCCTAAAGCACTCGACAGTTGCGTTTGAAGAGGAGTTGTCATCCTTATTACATTGACGTTCGAGTATAACTTTGACAAACTTTAATCGATAACTTAACCAAAAACTTCTAATGTCCATTACGGAATGCAGAAATTGAACATACTGCCATCTATCGAATAATCAAAAACTAAAGGAAACAATGTCACCGATAAGGTTCAAAGTAATTGATATTATCAACTAGCGATATAAATTTCTCAGTCAATATATAAATATTATGATTAATTTTTATACAGATATGCTTCATAAATTAACATTGATAATTTTATTTGCCGCAATAGTGTTGTCATATATAATGAAATTGCATTTTTAATCATTTTTTGTGTAAAAAGATACATAAATGAATGATCGGAATGGTCGATAATGTCAACACTCTTCTATCATCCGCGTCCTAGAGGTGACGAAAATGTATCCAGTGCTAATGATTTTTAGTAAGTCTCGTCAGTAGTGCAATATAGATATCATAAAGTCTTCCATGTAAATGCTCGTTACAAAATATTCTGCTGGAAAAATTCGAATGACGTTGCTTTCGACGGTAAATATACCATTTGTGATATAATCGATCGTTTAGTTTTGACGGAGGCATTAAACACTAAATATATATGTAACAAATATCAATAAAGATAAAATTTTAATTAAAAGTCTGTAAAACGTGCTGTGCGATCTTCTCAGCCACATTTATATATGAAATTATTGCCAGCTTTAATATTTTAAGCTCAATATACGACAGGGAGATCCCTGATATACTTAGTTGAAGTCAAAGCTAGCAACTGACCGTGTGGCCTAATGGATAAGGCGTCGGACTTCGGATCCGAAGATTGCAGGTTCGAGTCCTGTCACGGTCGCAAGCAAATAATTTTTTTTGCGCGAAACACATTTTTTGCATGTTCTACGTTAACTCAATAATTCACTTTTGTATTCCTTTCAATAAATGAAGACGCGTTAGAAATCAAAAGTACGAGAATACCCCTTCGCCACTTTTTTTAAAATTTATATTAACTGCATAATTTATTAACATATTAATTTAAAATTAAATGAATGTAAATTTGATCTTTGTACTGTAAGTTCAATTTATGCAAGCTTTGAAAAAATATAAGATAGAAATAGATGAAATAGATTATATTTTATTGGCACTTTTTTATTGTTATATTATATTGTATATATTTTGCTTATCGGTATGTTGTGCTATATTACATTTTTATCTTTTACTTGAACTTCTTAATACAAGCTTCATGTACTTATTGTAATAAATGAAGTGAACGACCTCAAGACATTTTCTCGAATAATGGTAACCGGTATAGGAAGCAAAATGAATAAGTGATGATGAAGGTTCAAAGGAAGGGCATTGTCGAATGCTATGACATTATCAAGAAAGGTCGAGGGTTCCCGAAACACTATTATAAGTTACTTAATAGCCCTTAAACCATTCTAACCGAATTTTTTACAGTAAAATGTCGTCACGATTCATTTATTACATAAAATTATCGATATTATACATTGACGATTTGTTGACTGAAAAATGTGTGGGCGGCATTTGATCGCCACCAATGGCAAATAACTTTTAATCCTCTTATTGAGAATGGTAACATAATTTCTGGAACAATAATTTATTATTTCTTGACAGAGGAAGAACTAATTATTTTTACAATCATTTTCTCTTCATAAAAATGTAACTAAACATTTATATAAATTTTTATAAAATAATTTATGCAAATTTAAATATTTTAATTAGCAACGATTTGAAAATATTTGTTAAAAAATAATTGTTTTTGAGGTATTTACTAACATATTTATGACAGAATAATGAATATGAGATCCGGTATTATAATACAATTATTTGATAAGTTGCTCTTTGTCTTGGGCAAAAATATTTTACTGCTAAAACATTTTGGGTTAGGCTCTACCATATGACCAATTTGTCGGCGGGAATCAACAGCACCTTCGATAGCTCAGTTGGTAGAGCGGTGGACTGTAGTTGGAATGATTGTTCGCAGATATCCATAGGTCGCTGGTTCAAATCCGGCTCGAAGGAGATTTTTTAAATATTTTTTTTTTAATTGTTATTATTACGATAGACTTTATTGAGATTATTTTTCTTAAAATACAATTTATTTATCTTTATTTTCAAAAATTATTGAAATATTTTTTTACGAAATGGTGTCACAAATTATAATTTCCATAAAAGAGAATACATTTATGCTGTTTTATGGATTTTTATAACCATCAAGATGGATCATAATGTATTGTAAATGAATTATACAATATTTTTAAATTAATTTTAATTTATCTTTATTAAGTAATTTATTTTATTTTATTTATTACACGAGTTCTCTCTACTGTGTTCTATATGTATTTATATATATAGATCACATTAAATTTAATTTCTTATCTTGTTATTTCATATTAATTTCTTATTATTTAATATATTATTTATTTATGTACTTTCTACATCTGAAAAGAATCTAGAAAATATAGATAGTAAGAACAGAATTGAATTATCATCTGGTACTGACTTGTCTATACAGAAAATATAGAAAAATCACTTATCTTTTTTTATTGAACTAAAGAAAGTGGAAAGAAATGAAGAAAAAAAATCCACCACTTATCTCGACATAATAGTTTGTTTTCTATAAATAAATCAAGCCTCTCTGATTTTCTCGTCGTATTATTTGGCGTGCTATTGATTCCGCGTCATATACATTTGATGATGCTTTTCCATTTATCTATTTCGGGAATCGAAACCCTGCGAGGGCGTGCCTCTCCTTTTTGTCTAATCAGAGAAGTGAATTAGCTCCAACGTGAGACCGCGCCTAAATATTGTTCGCGTAAATTGACGAGACTTTTAAATTCATTCTCGCACAAGTTTAACCTAGTCTCAAGTGCCGTGAGAGTTAGAAAGTCGATGCAAGTCGTTTGTAAACGCATCTCGTTACGCAAGTTACTTCACTAACTTTTAATTTTTATTCTGTTATAGTTAACACAATAATTTATTGCTTAACCAATTTATTGTACTTTTCTAAAAATTAATAAAATTTTCCATATATAAAACTCGTAAAGAAACGATCATTCTTTTACTATACATTCTATTAATTTTTCTACATTAGAAAGATAGTAAAATAATTTCAGAATGCGGACATACATACATTATAGTCGTTTTATGTTTGTTTAGATTAGATTAGAGTATTATATTGTATTTATCACTATAACGTATCATAAAAACTTCTGCTTGTTTATAAATTCAAGTGTTTTACGAAAAAATTGTAAAAAAAAGTAAAAGAGTTGATTATAGGATCAACTTGGGTTTTCTTTGTATAAATGGTCACCTGAGGTGATTTTTACATCCCAATTAAAAGTCATTGTTACTAATTATATATTACATATTTTTTATATTGTTCTGTAATGTATTAATATTTGAGGACAGTACGTATATAGATTTATATAAAAAAAATAAAGAGAAACCAACAAATATTTCAAAAACGAAAAAAAGCGCATTAAAATTACTGTGACGTGAGCTTCAATTTTTTTAGACGCGGGAATGTAAAAATTACTCCGTGTGATCGTGCTCGGGTTAACAATCGGCTTTAATCATAGAATTAATGATTAAACATACCTTCTTTTTAAATTCTATATAATCCTAGAATGCAGCAACGATACCGCATATAGAGGATAGGGCGTCTGCGTTGTTCGCGACATGAATAGCAACCCCGAGAGAAACACGTGCTGCCACCCTCCTGACGTCCGATTCGGGGGTGGCGGCATGGGGGATGGAAACGCTACGTCAACGATACGTCGCAGTGGAACTTATCCGCGAAAGCAACCATCAATGACGTACGTGCAAAGATTTTATCACGCGAGATCAATTAGGATAATTAATAGGAATCGAACGTATAACGTTTTTCAACTGCGTTCTCTACATTGCAAAACCGATATAGTCATCATCGGTGATTAAGCGTGATTAAAACATTTAATTAACATCGACAAATATTGACTTTTCAGTAAAATTATACTAGAATTATTGTAATAAACATTGACTATTGTTTATGTGAAATACTGTTATGTTTATTCCTGTTTTATTTGTTTTGTCATAATAATGTGTAGAAGAGTATTTTGTTTGAAAAGAGGAAGCGTGAGATGTGATTGTGTGATTGTGTGATTGAGTGAGAGAGAGAGAAAGAGAGAGAGATTTACAAATTTTTTAATTTGTAAAAAAAAATTTATATATATATATTTTTTATAGATACATACAATTTTACTTACCTAGATAGCAAAGTGACATTTAGTGACGGTTATTGCCGGAATAATGCCGTCTTAGTGACGGCAACACGTCAAGTTTCCGTCACTAAGCGGCATTATGACGGCATTTGATGTCACTGTGCTATCTGGGATATGTAAGTACAAATAAATTATAAATAATTTTACGTTTCTCTTGTTACTTTTATGGGTGCATTTATATTCTTGAATCTTCGTCATCGAATTCGATATCCGCTACATAATATTGAATTAAATTGTGAAACATCAACATAGAATAATGCCACGCTGCATATGCCGTATGTATAAAGAAGAATATACAAATTGGAATACAGATACAAAATATACGACGGCAATTTCCAGAAAAAGATTTCAGAAAGATATAAAAGTTTAAAATGCGCCATGTTCCCACGTAACTTTTGCGCATAAATCTCTCACAGGAACAGGTGTATCCTCTACTTGGAAACGCTCAATTTTATGAGTTATTCCGATTTCGAGACGGGTCAAAACGAGACAAATTTATGACTCATTATTAAGTATTACATATATACGCATTTATATACTCTCACACATCGCTATCTTTTTTTAGTATCAAATCCCGGTTATACCCCGATACTATCGTGAGCATGATTATCCCCTGGCGGCGGTGGCGCGCGCGGGAGCGCGCAATCGTGGCGCGTCATCGAGCAGTGCGCTTGTGCGAGCCAAGGACGGCGGTGGTAGAGGGCGAGTGCGAGGACGTGGACGTGGTCACCGGCGAGGGGCTGGAGGCGGGAAAGAGCGAGCGAGCGAGAGAGAGCGAGAGGGAGAGAGAGAGAGAGAGACATACCG